GGAAACAATGCATCAAAAACCGCGCGATCAAAGGCAACACTTACGGTCATTATCTGAATCTACAAAGTGCTTTGAGGCTTCGAGCGATTTTTATAAATGCTAAACATGAACTTGAAATTGACAGTAAACGCTCCGAAAGAATGACTTGATGGAAAAGTCCTGCTGTTTTAGTGGTTATTAGCGGCAGTGTGAACCCCTCTGAGTCTATGTCCTGCTTGAAGATTAAACTATACGGCAATCCAAGTTGATTTTGGCACCGGATTTTTACACAAATTCAGCATTTTTGGGACATTATGTAACAGATCAGATATAAAAGGAGAAACAAATAGAAAACCTCAGTATCCCGGAGATCCCAAAGCACCTCTGGGTTGTTTTAAAATGGGGGTACGTCGACACCTCCTCCAAACTTCTCCTTTTTCCACAGACCCCCACAGTCCACAGGCCGTTCCACTGAGAGCTCCATTCAACCCCTATAATTTAAAGCTGGTTAAGTTCTGGCTCCCAAGATGAATTACTATAGGGTTAGTCATGGGTTAAGCAACTGTTTACACTCAGGTTTTTGCCCTTGCTAGGTCACGGGTATAGCTCTGATTTAGTGCAGCTAGTTGTTTTAATGACATATACATTAGTCATGCATTTCTTGGTTTAATTCAGTGCAATTATTTTTTTCTATAGATAACATAGCAGGTAATGTTCCCAGAAGGGCCAGTAGCTCATATGGTAGCTGTTTGTCCAGAATGCACATTAAAGATAGAGCGATATGCCAGCAGGCCAATATTTACAGCTTATCAGCTAGCAAGCTTGTCAGCTATCCGCCTTTCATCTCCTGCATACGCCAATATTTTTTCCTTTGTAGTTTAAAGGAAAGACATGAAGCTTTAATTTAACATTTAATTTGAGGTTGCGAAATCATTGCTCAATGTATAGACTGTAACAGAGTTTGAAATAATCATATATAAATCTAAAATTATTACTAAAGGGAATTTATTACATATCGGACTCCAAATATCGGCAGCCTTGATGTACCATCGGCTGCTCTGGATTTGAAAAAAGGTTGGAAGTTTTAAAGCAGGCCTATTATCCTAAATCCACTTTTCAGAGCAGATGTTATAGTTGTTTCCCCTCATCATTTACCCATTCGAAGTTGAATTTGGAGTGATTTGCACATGTTTGAGCAATCTTTAATTGCTTATTTTCAAGACGCCATTTTGCCATTTTTCACTGCCGCCTGTATACACCTACTGCTCTGTACTAACTTTGTTCTCCAGTTTTATTTTCTTAAGCGGTGATAGGCATATTAGCAGTGTTGCGTAGTCATTTCGGTACAAGTGAAAATAATCCACTGCTTACTAATGTGATGTGCAGCTGCAGTGCTCTTTGTTGTGATGACGTTTATGACAACGTCAGCTCCCACTGGGCATCACAGTTTTCTAATGTAGAAGTCAGTGGACTTGTTTTTAAAGTTATTTTAGATTAAAATTGTGATTTAAACATAATGTTCCATTGGTGTCATAGATTATAACTAATCTATATAGCAGACACAATATGTCTTCTATAAGACATTTAGGGATTTTGAGCAAGACAACTCGCCCACTTTATGTCAAAACTTGAGTCAGAACATTTATTTTAAGATTAAGACTTCTGGATTATAAATTTGAATATTTGATTTACACTTCTCTTTAGTAGGTCAACTGCAATTCATCACTAAGTGAGTGGCCTACCATATGCTAAAAGTTTATACACTTTATTCATTAATTTAGGGGATTAACATTCAGTTTATAATGTTTTCTTTGCATAATATTAACTTCAGATCAATCTATTTTTGTTCTCTGAGAAGTCCAGTTTTTGTCATAGAAAGAACACTCTTTATATAAATGGTAAAATGATAAAATGTACTGTTTTGTTATCACTCCCTTAATCTAAGTTAAACCCTTGGATTTCCCTACACTTCCTCCTCTTCCTCCATCACAACCATCCTCCCCCATCCTATCCCGCCCCAAGCGCCTTTTTACCCCTCTCTAATTTGACCGTGTCTTATTTTTCCTGGTCCTTCCTTCTCCTCCTCCTCGTCCTCCCCCTCCTCCTCTTCCTCGGTCCATTCCTGCTTCTCACTGCTCTCCTATAATCTGGACAATTAGGCTTCCAATACTCAGCAACCTCTACCGCAGATGTTTCTCAAGGGTCCTCTCTCTACAGCCAAGGAGCCAAAAACTGGATGAGTCAAGCAAAAATACTGAGCATTTTGTGATAATTAAGGCAAGACACAACAGGTAAAATATCAGTTTGAGTTTAGTTAAATAAATCATGTAATGCTTTTCATGTGTGAAATGTCCCAAATTGTACACATTTGGAAGACATAGATCTGGAAAAACTGGTGAAACCTGGTTTAAATTTAAAGAAAAAAAATGTACAGATGGTATTTTGGATATCTTAACTCACATTTAGCCCAGTTGTTTGGAGTTAAACGTTAATATATCAAGCTAATGTCAACAAATTCTTGTGTACAATTCGTCAAAACTAAAAACGATTGAAAAGTTTGGTATGCAAGTGTGAGCGCACCTTAAAAGCAAATGTTATTGGATAATTTAACTTACTAAATGTATAATAAATTGCCATGTGTAAAACAGCATTTATACACTCAAAAATGACTCATGATAATTGGAGCAAATGCAACTCCCATCTTTGACTCCAGGTCTGTTGATCCAATCGCAGGCCGGTTTTGCATCCAGACCACGCCCCCAGAGACACATTCCACAAATGTAATTGATAGAGCAGGCTAAACTTCATCTTTCCATGGACTTGGCTCCCAGTTCCCCCTCTCCACATTAATCTACTCACTGCAGCGTTCATAGTAGCAGCTCTATTATCTATGAAAACCTATAATGGAACTTGCAGATGCCTTCTCTTGTCTTTTCCTTTTTTGTCCCCTAAAGCCTCCTTTTGTCTGGAACAACTGAGCAGAGGAAATCAGATTCTTTGATAAGCTAAAAAGCAATTTTGACAAGAAATAAACAAGACAGTACAATTTTTTATTTGTGTTAAAGAGCCTCAAAGTTCCTCAGTATAAAGTGGAAGTATAGCCACAACGTCCTCCTCTATGGACAAATTTTTCTTTAATATGTTTCTTTGCATATTTTAAGATAAGTATGATTTTTAATTCTTTGACAGCAGTCATATGGTACCTGCTCCATCCACATTACAAACTAGTATTTAACTTTATTGTACATTTTGTCATTTTTATCCAGCAGGTGGAAATGCAACTAGTGTATTTGGGAAAATGTGAATTACAATTGACCTTCATATATAACTGGTGTAAAAATCTGTAGGCAGCAGTCTAGTGTATCCCATAGGCTCCAAGTAGCTACACGTAGAGATGGTGAAAACAAAAAAAACAAAAACAACTGGTTTCAAAAGTAAATATTAAAAGTAAAATGCGTGATGGCATATTATCATTCATACATGTACTAAAGATGTATTTACTTACTTGGGTTGCCAAATCAGTCATATGGTGAGTTTATTACACCAGATGCCCTTCCTGTCACAATCAGTCTATTCGTGAGTGGAGTCTCCTGCCTGAAAACAACAGTATGCCATTTGAGACAGGTTTAAACTAATAAAAGTACAGAAAGATTTACTTACTGAATTCCACAAAGACAAATGTGACCAAATCTGTGGCACTAATGCTTAATATCTCTTTGCTCGCAATAAGTTCTTGTGAAACATTCTAATTTGTGTTTTCATTTTTTGTTACACTGTGTTATTGAAGCTCAGTCGGTCAGAGCGACTGTGTATTTGGACTGATAATCAACAGCAGGCCTCTTCCTTTCTTTGCAGGAATGTGGAGTTTACAGAAGAATCATATACAACACATGTTCGTCATTGAAGAAGTATGCAAATATTTTCTTTAATTAAGCTCTATTTAAGACCATTAACACTCCACTATTGCTGACAGTGTTGTTAACCACATGGTAGTGCTCTTCTTTGGTCTCATTTGTCCAGTATTTTCAATGGTTTTCATTTCCTGTTGGACTTAACTACTGAAGTGCTTTGACATCAGGGGTTTCCAGAGACCAGCAAGACCTATTCAAGAATCATGTCACTGAAAGAATGTGAAGAGACTGCTTCCTAGAAAATAACAATTTCAATGGTAAAAGTGTGTACACAGTAAATGACATGAGGACATTGCCAAACAATCAAACTATCAAAATTAAGTAGCATGAAGACACAGACACTTTTGATTATTAAATCATTATTACATGCATGTTTAATTATAATACAGATTATTGGATTGTCCAATACATTTAACATTAGCATAAAAACTTAAGACAATAAAGTCAGAGGATAGATTTACCTTGTAAAGAAGATGACTCGAAGCAAGCAGCCAAAACATGTCAACAAGGTACATACATTTCCAAACGTTTTTGTCTTAGTTAGGGAAATTTCATTGAGGTCTCAAAGCTATTCCAGTAAATGGTTACGACGTGTTGCAAAATTTGTACACTCTTCACTTGATAATAATAATTCATGAGTAGCCACAATTCCTGCTGTATGCTGTATGTTCTCCCCAGCCCAAACACTCATAGAGTTTTAGTGCATTTGTGCACCACTATTTAACTTATTTGACCTGTGGGCCAAAGTTGTAACAACTGCTGATAAATCATAATTGTGATTAAACAAAGTATTTTGCAATGGAATCTAAAAAGAAAGGAACACAAAGCCCTTTAATGTAACATAAAAATTATTTGGTACCCAGTGAACCACAATAATTGCTATCATCTGCTGATGGTGAAGTCATGGGAGTCAGTTGAAGTCATGGTCAGTCTTTCCCTATTATCCCTATTACCTATTATCCTATTACATTGCCTTATAATGTAATGTTATAATTGTTTGGACAGTTATAAACAAATTATAATGTGTCACTTACAAAATGTGCAATGTTTTCATATTTCCATCAAGGCACCCATCTCCTTTCTACTCCCCCTGCTGGACACAGCTGGAGTTTAATGTGTTTTGCAGCAAATTGTTCTGAGCAGTGTGGACCTGATGGTCTGGTCTCTGATGCCGTAGATGAGCACACTGAGACCACGGGGCAGTATCATGATAAGCACATAGAGAACAGTCTGGATCCGCACGTATGTGAGCCGGGTCAGGACCATGACCTTTGCCAGGCCCATGAGCAAAGGCATGTAGATGGTGGCCGACAGGCTGAGCACCAGCTGGAACAGGTGCAGGAGCAGCGTGTTTCGAGCTTTTACACTCTTCTCAGAGGCACATTTGTGTGCCACCCTCATCACCATCACATAAGACCACAAGATGACCACTGCAGAAAAAACAAAAAGGAAGGAGATGAAGCCTTGGTCATATTCCGCGGACATAGGCGCAATCCTGATGACCAGACTGCTGCAGTAGTCGTTCATCATCAGAGTGTCTAGAGTGTGGAAGGGGAACTGCATCAGGAGCCCCACTCGCACCACTAAGTTAAGGAGACACAAGGCCCACAGCAGCAGCACAGCCACTGTGCTCCTGCGCAGTGTAAGCAGAGTGGCATGGCGAAGCGGAAAGCACACCGCTATGTATAGCTCCAGAGACATGAGCATCACAGTCAGCGGGGACACTTCATTGGACACATCGATGAAGAGTGTGATGAGGGCGCACACGGGGAAGTACACAGTGGTGCGATTGTTAGCGATCAGGAAAAGCACCTGACTGAAGAACATGTGGAAAGTGTCTGCCAGCAGCAGGTTAAACAGGAGACAGTATCGAGGGGTCTCCTTGAAGGCCGCCTTAGAGCGCAGTACACACAACAACAGACCATTCACCAGCAAACACAGCACACATGGAAACGTGGTGATGAAGGCAAAGATCCTGCGCTCCACCTTTGACATGTACAGCCCCAGGTCCAGCCCAGAACTGTTACTCATGCTTATGCTCAAACCCCGTAAAACAGGCTTCAAACTGGTTCCAAAAAGGGCACAAAGTAAATAAATACACAATTAAAATAACAAGCACACCATAATTAGGCTATTAATGGACATGCAGTTCGCTGTAACAATGGCATTTTATATTTTCAGAAAGACTCTTAACATAGACCATGCAAATGTAGATGTTCACTCTATTTCAACTTACAGCTATAATGCTGCTATCTATATGAAATAGAAAATTTCAACACCTTCTGTGCAGAATAAAGTGATTTTGCCACTCAATAAGTGGTAATGCACGTCATTCACACATACTTGACTGTGCACTGTAGACAACATTAAACCACAACTACAAGATTAAAAGTCAGTTTTTGAAGTCAGTATCAAATAAGGATCATGTTCAACAGTGGATTTTATGTTCTGGTATAACTTTCAAAATAGTATCCTTTAAATGATTTTTGACATAAGCACATTCTAAAACATTACCTTTGACTGGACTTGTTCATTGTGACTGGGAGAGACATTATGTGGATTTTACTTGGGGTTATTTCTCATGAAAACACCAAATAATACAAAATACTGACTCCCTATCATCAAACAAAAAGACTAGCCTAACCTCAACAAGTGATACTGCAAAATAGACTAGAGCTGGGTCCAAGGAAAAAATCTCTGTTTTTCAAACACAGGGTCAGACATCAATGAGAGACAAGCAAATATAATAAAATAATGTATGTTTGTTTTTTTTTACAACAAAAACAGGATCAAACCAGGGCCAAACCATTATGAACGCACCCTCATAAACACAATCATATCAGATTGTATCAAAATCATAATCGTTAGCAAGTACCAAACTACCAAAATTTGACAAAATAATGTATGCACAAAGAACAAAAATGAATCCCAAAACAAACCCATAAAGAGGGCAACTAAAAATCCAAGTCCTATAATAATATAAACAATTAATAATATTTCAGCATAAATCTTGGGATATCCAAAAATGATTGTTCCAAAAATAGGAAGATTGTGTTTGGGAACAAAAACCTGCCACAACCTTGTATTTTAAATGTGTGTGGTGCTCCTGCTCTTATCTGCGCCTGTTTGCTCTTCTGAAACCCCTCTCTCTTTGAGCTGATATCTGAGAAGAGGACTCCCAGAGGAACACAGTGCTCCTCAAATCATCTCCTCAATCTCCTCAGACTCCACCTCTCACAAAATGTGTTCCACTTTTAACTGATACAAGACAAAATATATTGCATATTAAATGTTGCCCCCAAAATTGAAAATACTAAAAGACAGGATTTTAGAGAACATTAATAGAAAATAAAATACTTTGAGGATTTTTAAAACTGGCAGACAACTTTGTCAAACGTTTGACAAAGTTTTTTTTTAACAACTCTGGAGTTTACTTTTTAACAACTTTGGAATTCAGAAAAGACAAATCACAATTATCTTTTTTTATTAAGTTGGTCAAATATCAATAGAAATACCTTATCAAGTCATAACTTTATTACTACTACTAACTAATAATGCATCAGTTTTATATAGTGCTTTTTTGGACACTCAAAGAAGTTTGCATTATTCATTCACTCCACACCCGGTGGTGGTAAACTACTACTGTAGCTACACCTGCCCTGGGGCAGACTGACGGAAGCAAAGCTGCAGCACACACAACTTTCATACTAGGGAATGTGGGTGAAGTGCCTTGCCTAAGGACACAACAACAGTTATTACAACCGGTGCCCCACTGTGGCACCTGATTTTCCCAGCAGTCTCCCATCCAAGTACCAACCAGGCCCAACATTGCTTAGCTTCTGAGATCTGATGGGATCAGGCTTTGACAAGCTGGTATGGCCAAATTGAATATTGAATTCAATAACTAATAACATTGGGCTTTACATTTACTTTTACCTTTGCTTTTTTTTGCTTTCTCTTCCTTTGTCCCACATTCACCCTCACCAACACTAAACAGGGACCAAACCAAAGATATTTCTAGTATATATTTCTATTTCTAGTCTCCCATCCCAGTACCAGACCTGACCTGGAAGCTAAACCTTCAGAGATCAGATGGTATTGGGCTTTCTTAAGGTGTTATGGCCGAATCTTTGTGTGTCTTATTTGATCATCAAAGAGATCACCTGCACTGAGATTTTAAGTCCCTGTATTTGACAAACCCTTCAAATCCCAAACCATGATAATGGTCAGGTGTACCTTGTTGGTTGGCCTGCAATATAGAATACACATTTCTCCAATACTTTATGAAGATGTAAGTATGGTAAGCAGTTAATCTCCCTGAGTTCAGATGGGAGTGACTGACAGGTGGATTAACCAATCAGAGGCACACATGGGTCTCCATATTAAAACAAATATGGCTGTTTACAAAGTAAGTGAAGCACTAAACACTGTTAATCAATGGTGAGAGAAATTTGATTTTGTTCTGAATGATGGCAGGTGACCAATGAGCTCCTTGGTCCCACATATACCACAGAAATAAATAAATTGCTTTAAATTCAGCTGTGTTTGAGTTTGTGGCACTGAAAGAATGGTGACATAACTGATACCCTCTGTATAAAATAATTAAATAATAAAATACATATATAATTCTAGATTTGCCAGGCAACCTTACTGGGGGTAAGTCTACTCTGAAGTTTGACATTATGAATGAGTTATCCAGAGACCTCCTTTCCTAGTCACAAACAACACTGTGAAAACAAACTTTGGTCTTTGTGGATTTGGGCTCTGGAGATGGGCTTGTTTTCCTGTTTACTGTGTCATTAATATTTGATGATATTTGATGTTGTAATTCTTAGTTGCATTTTAGATAAGGCTTAATGAGTCTTCAGATACTGAAACAACAAAGATAAACAGAACACTGCGGAGTAAACACTCTCAAAAAGAAACACTCTCAAAAAGAAAGATCATACTTTTACATTGAATGTTTTTCCTGCAGCAAAGAGGCACAAACTGTAACTGGAATTAGAGGAAGTGTCTTGCTCAAGGACACAAAAATGGTACATTTGAGGCAACCTGTAACCAATTAAAATGTACAACTGACAGACATGTGCAGAACTTTATCTTTAAATATACATGCGATGATGTGAAGTGTATTTTTACTGTGTTCTTTGTTCTTCATTGCCAAGGGTGCTAATATTACTGAAGAACATAATAAAGGAAGTAAAAGTATATATTTATTGTCTCTTTGGACTTGTCTGTTTTACATATGTTTAGCTGGAGGGAATAATTGTATGTGCCAATAGATGAAGTTCTAAAAGCTTCCTGAGTAGTGTTTAAATTTTCCAAGGTTTTTGCTGGTTCCCCATCGTGATTGAACATGACAGTACATTGCATAAGGCTCATTATAGAGCTCTTTAATGTGGTGCTGGAATATAAAGAGTCTATTATGTCTTTTAGAGTGGGCTGCACGGGGAGCTGTGGTGGTGGAGCATGTTTCAGACAACATAACATTTAAAGGGGTTTTTCCAGTGTTGCAGTTGTACATGAAGCTACAGGTTATTTTGGGGGTCTGGTCATCATGTCTCAGGTTTCTAATGACAGTCCTTTCTATGTACTCAGACATAACAGTGGTAAGGCATGAGGCATAATAAGAATGTAGGCCTGTTACTATAATTACTATATTGACTTGTATTTCGGGGGGGGTCAGTATTTATCGTGCGTACATTTTCTTTGCACTACTGGGAAATTTTTTGTTATTTTTTGGTTATATGATAAGATCTAAAATAATTTCTATGACTCGTTATGTTTTATTCTGCTATTTATTTATTTATTGTATCTTGGAATAGTTTCATAATAGTTAAGTTCTTAGGTTATTGTGTCAGTGGCATAAATGAGTTCCAATATTGTAGTTTATCGTCTGTATTTACTTTTGCAAATATATTGCACTTCAAAATTTGTGATTGTGACACCTTATATTGCGCTTTTGGGAGATTTATTTACTCTGCGTCATACTGGTAAAAGTGTGCCACCAAGCAGCCCGTACTAACCCCTCTGACCACTAATCACATACATTTATACAAGGCACAACCGCAGTGAGTGATACCATTTCCAGAGGTTGAACCATCAACTTTCTGGTTAGTGCGCAAACATACATCTCTACCATCTAAACTGCTGCTACTCCAAAACAGAGTACATAACCCAGAACTGTTATTTGCATTTATTTATATGGTATAAGTGGTAACATTAAAAGGCTGGTTAGTGGTTAGACTTACCACAAATAACTCACAAAGTGTAAATGCATTTGCTCACTTTTTACGATGAAGGCCATCTAAATTAGCGGTTCCTGAAACCCAACCCTTTTTGTACTCATCTTTCTTTAGCCATTAAACATCCATTTACTGGTATATCGCCTATTATAACTTATATTTTTTGTTTTTGTTATATACTGAAACCAGCATTATCCTACAGAAACATTACAGTCAATGTAAAATGTACTACAAAGATTATTTAATACACCGGAACCCACATGTGACACAATAAAGAATCTGTAAATCACTGTTGCACCTTAAGGGGCCCTTATTACGCTATTTTCTGATCTATGTTTTCTCTTTTCTCTTATATTTTCTCTCTCTTCTTTTTCAAAAACATACCTGGAATTGTGTTTTGCTTCATTCACACATGTATAGTACACAAATACTGCATATTTAGTCTGAATTCTTCTCTCAAATAAAAAAAAAAAACATGTTGCAGTAATCCAGGAAGTGCTCTACTGTGTTTTTAAACTTCATACACCTTCACTAAAGTAATTTAGATAATCTCAGCCCTGGCATTGCTCCTGAACAAAAGGTAAAAGGTAGCTGATAACTTGAAAGATGTAGACAGACCAATAATAAAGGATTCATTAATCAGGAATGTGTGAATGAATCAAAAAACAAAACTCCAGGTATGTTTTTGAGGAGGTAACCACATTATAACATGTCTTAAAGCTCACAGGAGTCAATTTTGTGAAAGAACTTTAAAAACCTAAAGATCTAAACACCCTCTTCTTGTGG